TATATATATATATATATATATATATATATATATATATATATATATATATATATTATCAATATTTCCTCGTGATAATTTTGTTTTATTTTTACTTTATTTCCTTTTCAAACGACACTTACATCTTATTTTACGGGTCGCTATTATATCGCATGGTTTAAGTTTATTAGTAGGTGATGAAAAGATTCATTTTATATAAAGATTGATTTGATGTGAGCGCGTTGTTATCTTAATATTTTCTTCTCACTTTGTCCTACTTCTCGTAGTAGATTTTCCTCGTATCTTACCTTTTTTTTTAGGTTTATCATTGAAAACGACATAGAACGATACAATCTATCGAGAATCTTTTTAGAAATAACATAGATAATAGATATAATAATGCTCGATAGCTATAATTTTGTTAATTGGCTACACAGTTATAGTTCTGTTTGCTATGGAGAATATTTAGTTTTGATAATCGGCTATGCAGTTATAATTATGTTTGCTATGGAGACTGTTATTTGTATATTTCACTAGCAAATATACAAACAAGATAAAAATATACAATTTGGAGACTACATATTATATATTTTGTTTGCATGTTTGTATATTTCACTTGCAAAGATACAAATTCTATAACCATTCATTTTAGATTATTTCAACACTTAATTTGTGTATTTCACTTGTACATATAATTTTTTTCATAAATCTTATACAAATAGAGAATATAAGCATATACAAATTCTAAATTTATTGAATTATACAAATTCTATATTTATACAATTAGAAAATCGAATAACAAAATTTCAAAAATCTATAACTACAAATTAAAAATATACTCTAGATGTTTGTCATTTTCCGTACTTAACCCAAAAAATAATACTAGCTTCCAAAAAAAACAAAAAAACACGTACACACACATTGGGTGCATGCAAAATATGAACAAAAATAACACCATTCAAAGCGTGATAGTATTCGTCTCTGTAATCTCTGTATAATCAACCTCTTCACATTCCGTTGCCAATTTCACTAGCTGAAGAAGACTACCAGTAGCTAACATGGCTTTCGTATTCAAATCATGTAAAGCTCTTTCATACAAAGACCCAATGGCTCCAATTGCATTTTCATACAATTTTTCATCTTTTTTATGACCCATTAAACAATGCCCTAAAATCCTCAAAATTGGCTGTAAAAGCTCCCATGGCATATGAATCCTTCTTTTCACATCTGCATTGTCTTCTCCTACTTGCCCCGACGACCAAATCCTGCAAAATTCGCAGAATTCAAGTTTCGATTCAACTGGAATTTGAGGGATTTTGGTGTAGTATAGTTCCAATGCTACCCCGACGATACGACCTCGTTTCATCGATCTGACGGTTCCGAATGGTTCTAAGGTAGGGGAAATCACGGCGAGATTGAGTTCTGTAGCGGAGTTTTTAGCTGCTTTGTTTGTTTCGTGGTAAATACTGGAATGGGATAGATCTGGGATGTTGACGGTAATGGATTGGGAGTTTCGATTGGAGGTTTCGTGTGCGTATAATGCTAGTAATACAGCTTCGAATCCGGCTAATGGTTTATGGAGATTGACTTTAGAGAGATAAACTCCGGCGATTATTGGTAGGAATCGGAGGACGACGAGGTGGAGTTCCGGTTCGTTTGATTGGAATGTATCGTAAAGCCATCGGCAGAGATTGTCGTCGCCGGCGCCGGAATCGGGTTGACGGAGGAGTTTAGAGATTTGTGCGGCGGTTTCGGTGTCACGGAGGAGGCAGGCTGCCGGAGTTTCGGAGGAAGATAGTGAAGGAGGGACGGAAGGGAGAATGGAAGATAATGATTGGATTGCGTCGTGAGCTTTTGTGTAGGAATCTGACCATCGGATGTGTGGTTTGTTTGCGGTGGTGGAGGAGTCTGTATCTTGGTCGCCGGCAGCCGTGGTGACGGCGGAGGGAGCGGTGGCGGTGGTGGGGGTTTCGTCGGACATTGATATTGTATTGGAAGGGGAAAATGTTAATTAGAGGGAAATTGATTATTGAAGGTAATTATGGAGATTAAGGGATTTAACTTTTTGTAGTTAAAGAGAAAATTAAGGAATGAAAAGTGGATCTTAATACATTTAGTTTGTTTAGAAATTAAAAGGAATGTAATTAGATACATCATAATAAAATTAATGTATGAAAGAAAAATATCGAAGTAAAACAATCATGTTGACATAACGAAAAAGAGATAGTAACAATGAAATTGAAGAATATGACAATACGAGAATAATAACAAGAATATAAATAAGAAAAATTAGTGAACATTTGAATATGTGCTAATCTTATCTCTCGAGTTCTACACACATCTATTTAGGATCAATATGTGTTTGGATAAAAAGAATCGCAATATCGTGCCTCCCGATCTTCAATATCTCCACCTCTCATAATATTTATTATAATGATATATACATACTTAAAAAATAATCTTTTACTCACATTATAAAATAAAAAAACAAATAAAGATTAAAGCTAAACATCGCAAAGAGCATTTATATTAATTGTACTCCCGATGCTCTAATTGCTCTGCCTTCCTATACGATTTGTCTTACATGACTTACAAATAATTTATATAAGATATTTTATTTACGTATGAAACACAAAAAAAAGAAAAATGAGTAAATAGTTTATTTATTTTTCTGAAAAATATATTCTTTTCATGAGAAACACACCAAAACTATTCAATATGTAGTGATACATGTATCTATGAAGTGTATATGAATCATTTGCATTTCTGCCCCTATTTCTTGTTGATTTTTATTTTTTGTCTCTTAAGATGAATTATTTTTTTTTGCAGTATATAAGTTTATAATTTTACATCATAATATTTCAAAAATTATCTTTTATGTTTAATTTTTACAGGTAAAAACAAAGATTAACTCATTAATTAAAGGGAAAATCATGCAATAAATGTGTATATATATGTATATGTAGTTCATATTAGATTTGAAGGTCCAAAACATTAGGAAGCCCAAGAAAAAAGAAAAGAGCAAGAATTATCCAAGGTAATTCTTCATACTAATAAATAAAGTTTTTATAATATAATCAAAGGTAATATATTGTAAATATGTAACTGCATCTAACTTAATTAATCCTTATTAATTAAATTACAACATTACTATGTGAAGCTAAACTATTTTACGTCTTTCAAAAATATTGCACAATAGATCTATATGTAAAAAAAGGAAGTCAACTTGAAATTATATTTTAGTATGTATATGCATATATTTAAGATTTTTTATGATTGAAAATTATATTTAGTGTGTGATGATAATACACCGACTGGGTTATTAACTACTATAAAATTAGTTTGAATTTTGACTACAAAAACTTACATGGTGAAATATAAATAGTAAATGCAGCAATAAGTTATTTGACATATTATATTTAACTTAATTGATCAGAATTGTATTTTTTTAAGTATTTTTTGGTATGGTACCAAGTATGAAAATATTTTTAAGGATAATAAAATTATCTCTAATTCATTAGTTTATCTTAGTTTAATTTGAATTGTTCTTAAATAATTTGTTATGCAATAAATAATTATTACGAAATATGTATAATGTATTTATCAAATTGGTACAGTGTTGACATTCTTCTACTTTGACCCGAACAAAAAAAAATAACAAAAAGAACTTTATCAATCACTAGTAAAATTAAAGATTATCATGTGCTAAGCATAAGTATGAACAGCTTCAATGAAAGCAACATCCAAATTTTACTTTGATTTTCATTATCCATTGACTAATTTCATTTAATTGGGTGGTTTAAATTGAACATGACCTTTATGTAGCAATCACAATAATTAAAAACTTCAAGGTTTTGTTACCATATTCACAAACTAGTTGAACTAACTGTCCTTTTGGTCCATCCAACAAAATTATTTGTTACTTTCTCTCCAAAATGAATGGAAAAAAAGAGGGAAATTTAAATAAATATTTCTATTTTTACCTAGGATTCTTTTAATTTGCCAATGAGATAAAAGTAATTCGATTTCCTTTTTATTATATTTGTATGAAAGTGAAAGTAAAGTAACTTCAACTATAGATGTCATTTTAATGGCAGACATAAACCATGTATGGTAGGTATACCTTATAGAAAAGTAGAATCATTTGGAATCTTTTCAATTAAATTACTTGTTGTTTCTTTAAGTTATAATATTGTATATCATAATAATAATCCAAAAGAACTTGGAAAATTAATGAACATGGCATAAAAAGGCAAAAAAGGAAAACAAAGCCTTCATTAAACTAAATCATCTTCTCAATGATGACAAACAAGTCTACAACATCATAATCTCTCAAGATACACCTTGCATAATATTTTTATGCAAAATTAGACCAAGAGAAAAAAAGATAGCAAAGTATACATATAGTAAAAAAAGAAAAATCCCCAATTACTCATATTACATGGGGAAATAATTAAAATAAAAGATCAAACTCCTCTCTCCATCCAAATCAAAGGGCTTAAGAAACAAAGCACCAAAGTCATGATCAAGAATACAACACTTTCATAGTGAGACATTGATCTTGAAAAAAAACCCCAAATATGTAACTAAGTAAAAGGCCATTCATAATTAGACCTTTTGTCAAAATCCTCTAAATCTTGGTTAGCTAATAATTAAGAGGATTGCTTAGTTTCTAAGGCAAACCAACTAATTTTACAAAGATCCTAATTGGATGGAATTAAATGACATGCATATGATATCCATCCATTTTCATGCTTAGTAATTTTTACCTCCTTTTTTCATATGAAAAGGATATATAAAGCATATGTTACTATCTAAACTTAATCAAACCAGTAGCGAGATGGATGAAATTCCTCCACCTTCAGGTAACTTAACTCCTGATGGGAGCACTTGTTTTTCCCTGTAACGGGCCCTACACAGCTCGAATCCAAATTAGTCGAGCCAGTAAATTTCACGAGGGAGAAAAAGGAATACTACACTAGATAAAAGTGAGCTAATTATAAAGGTGGGAAAAGAAGGAAAACCACTACATGTTGGTCAATGATGATTGGTGAACAACTTTTTGATACTTTGAAGTAGTATCAATGCCTTCACCAATGTTAAAACCAGCCCCAACAACATCCCTTTTTTGACCAAAACATGTTGTAGCACCGGGGGAGATTCCCCCGGTGCTACTACTCAGGGCAGAGTCCTGATGTAGCAAACGCGGAGTAGGGGAGGCAATAGTGACCGGAGGAATGTCAATTGAATTGAGTTGTGGTGGTGGATGTTGCCATTGAGGCAGTGGTCCTGCTAGTAAAAGTGTTTGAAGTAATGGCCCTGCTTCCATCACAGCTTGCAAGAATTTCCCCTTCTCTGGCAATGGCTTCTTGATTACAACATTTTCAATTAAATCTTGGACTAATAATGGTGGTGAAACAACATTGTTTTCATCACAGTCTGAGGAATTAGAAAGTACACAAATGTTGTTGTTGTGGTTAGAGTCAACTACCCCTTTTAAAATAGGGTCATGTTCTTGATTGTCATGACTAATTGTTGTGCCACTAGAAATAGGTGCACTTTCTATAACAACATTATTTTGGTTATGTTTTTGAAATTGAAATTGTACTTGTACTTGTTGTTGTTGTTGTTGTTGGAGCAATTGTTGTTGTAGTATAATTTTCTCCATTCCAATCCTTTGACATTTGCCTTGTATTTCATCTCTTTCTTTCATAACTCTAGTCAATAGATCCTTAAGTTGCAAAATCTCCTCATCTTTTCTTGCAAGTTCCTCATGAGCTGAAATCACAGTATTCTCCAATTCCAATGTTGTGTACACCAATGAATGCTTCAATTCTTCTATCCCCTATCAAATATCCCAAATCCACATTAATTACACAACGAAAAAATCGAGCATTTTAAGTTATATTGCTCAAAACTTTTAAAAAATAGTGACAGATGCATGTCAGATCCTTCAAAAACAGTACAATAAAGTACATTATTTTGGAGAACTATATTCAAAACTGATGCGACATTGATTTTGGAGAGTCTGAGCAACATAATGAACATTAGTGACTGACAAAAAAAATAATCAAGAAACTAAGAATGTTAGTTAAAAGAATCAAGAAACTAGGAAGTTAGTTAAAAATTTACCTCTTCTAGGTAGTAGTTATAAGGCCAACTAAGAGGGCTACATTGATCTTCCATTTTTTTGTCTCTCTCTCTCTCTTTCTTGTAAATGTGTTTGGCTATTGAAAGAGGTTAAAACAAAAGAGGGTACATAAAAAAAGAAGTTGAGGGTTTTTGAGACTTACTTATATAAACTAAAGTTTAGTTTGCTTTTTTATAATGCTACCATAGTAATAGTAGTACTATTGCTACTTTATCTTTATTATTATTGTTGTTATTATCTCACTATAAGAGAGGCAAAATGTTTGTGGAGAAAAAACACAAAAGGCCAAAAAAGAAAAAGAGAAGGGAAAAAGGGGTTATAGTGGATATAAATCACAAATATAATCTTGCTACTTATACTTGTTACTATAAGATTCTTAGTACACAAGAGGGACATTTTTTTTTTTTTTTTAAAAACTGTTTTTAAAAGTAAAGAGGGAATGTGAACTAAAGAATCCAATTTGGGGACTAATGGGGGCTACAATGAATCTCCTTCCTATGCAAAAAAAAAAAAAAAGAAGAAAGAAACACACATGAATGAACACATTAATTAAAAGCAGTGTCACATTTTTGACAAAAAATATTTTTGTCTGGGGTTTCAAAAGTTTTTTATTTTTTGCATAGTCTTGATTAAGAAAAAAAAATTGGTAATTTAGTATTTTTAGTATATATTTTTATCAAATGATAAATCATTAATTTAGATAAATATTTCATCAGATATTGACTCGTCAGTAAAAAGATTTCGATAAAAATATATTGAATACATTATCGATAAATTTTAATTTTGATGTATTTGAATGTGAAACTTTATTCATATATACTAGTGAAAATCTTCTTCTTCTTTTTCTTCTTCTTTTTTTAATATACATGTCAACTTTAAATCATGGCAAGATTCATCTAGAAATAATACCTCATTCACAAGATTTAGATTACACACAATCAAGTTTGTTCAATTACAATATAAACTAAGAATTTGTAATTAATACATTTAATTATTATATATTTTAAATTCAAGCAAAAAAGTTCCCTAACAAATTAAAGAAATATATATAGGATTTGGCTTGCAAATCTTGAATTAAAGATTTGTTTTGGACTCTTATACCAAACAAGTGGAATAATAATATATAATGGATCCAAGCTAGTCTGAAAATGTTGATTTATCCACAAATACATTTTTTTCCTTAGGTTCACACATTTATAAGAATTTAAAGGGTTGATAAATTAGGACTATAGGACTTGTGCATGTGGACAGTGGACTTAGACAAATAAGTAAATAAATAAATAAATGAAATGAAAATAATTCCTTTATTATGAGTATGTGTATCATAATTTTTTTAGGGCAAC